CCTCCTGACTTCGGCAATAGCTCAGAAAGAGGAGGACTTGGAATATTTTGCTTTTCTTCCAAAACTGGGGCCTCTGTCAGAATTGTCACCGATGTTGCAAGCACCCTGGCTGGCTGCGCCCCCCCCCCTCGGATCTCCCCAAGAGAAGGCCCACCGGGCAGTGGTGGCAACGAGGGGGACTTTGCCACGAGCTGTCGCTTCCCTACCTTCTCCTACGTGTTCCCTCTTTGCGGTTCATGGGGAAAGGAGCAAAATGCAGAGCTGGGACACCCACGTTCTTCAAAAGACACCTTGTTCAAGTCCAGGTTTCCCCTGGTTGGCCATGAAAGAGGGGTGGGGGTGGGGGAATCCTCCTTGCCCTTTGAAATTGAGCCATGCCCCCCCACCCCACCTTGTTTGTGGCTCCCTGCCTCACTCTGATGCTTTAACCCTTTCCCTCCCCCAGCGGTGGTGCTAGCTGTGCTCCTGGCCATCATGGCCGCCGTCCTGCTGGGCTCCATGGTGGTCTTCTTTGTCAAGCTGTGCCGGAGGAGCCCGGGAGTTTCATTGGGAACCGTGTGGAACACCCTGGATGACAAGGAGTACCTGATGAGCAACGCCTACACCCTCTGAGCGGCCCCGGCCAACGGCATCTCTCTCTCTCTCACTCACTCACTCCTGTGCTCCTGGCCATCATGGCCGCCGTCCTGCTGGGCTCCATGGTGGTCTTCTTTGTCAAGCTGTGCCGGAGGAGCCCGGGAGTTTCATTGGGAACCGTGTGGAACACCCTGGATGACAAGGAGTACCTGATGAGCAACGCCTACACCCTCTGAGCGGCCCCGGCCAACGGCATCTCTCTCTCTCTCACTCACTCACTCTCCTCTCTCTTGAGCGGCCCCGGCCAATGGCGTCTCTCTCTTTCTCACTCACTCACTCTCTCTCTCCATCTCTGGGAGGGCGACTTGGGCTCCATCTGCATGTAAATAATAGAAAAGTGACAGAAATCACCCCACTTTGGGTCATCCCTCTCTGTAGGTCCAGCTTTGCAGGAAAAAGTCTTGAATTGTCTCTTCCTCCATGTCGGGGGTCCTTTTTTTTTCCTCAAGAGGTGGCTGCGTTCAGTCTGTCCCAGTGCCCTTTGGGTTGGCAGCACCGTGCTATCAGATGCGTCCACCAAAGGCAGGATGGAGTGTGTGTGTGTGTGTGGAGGGGGGGGAGCAGAATGGAGAGGCTGGTCTTGCCCCTCTCCTTAGTCCCCTGGGCTTGGCTTCTTGTGCAAGTTGGCTTCCTTTGGCGATGGCTCTAGCCCTACCCTGAACAGGACTCAGCCAATAATTGTGCCTCCTTCAGCCTCTTCCCTGAGATGGGATGTTGTGGGGCTGCTTCCCTTTTTTACACCCCCATCTCCTGGCACATTCTGTAACTAGAATGGACCTCCCCCCCCCCTTTTTTTTAAAGATCCCAGCTTTCAGTGTCGGCCAGTCTCTCCCAATCAAGCTCTGGCCACACTGAGGCTTAAATGAACTCTGGCTCAGCTAAGGCAGATTTTCACGGAAGCAGGAGGTGGTTTGTTTAAATTGGTTTTTTTTTAATTGTCAAAAGACTTCTCTCCTTGAGAGTTCAAAGGGGAGAGAAGGGTGTTGTAATGTTTTCAAGTCTCTGTATCTCCACCCTGGAATCCAGTTTGCTAAGAATTTTAAATCCAGGATGGAGGAGGGGGGGGGGAGATCAGAGAGCAAACCGTGAGCCAACAGATTGTTGGTGCAACTTGAGTTGGAAGCATGTGGGATGGTGGGGGGGGAAGAGAGGGCAGAAAGGCCTGCTCGCATGGATCTTGGCAACCAGCTAAACGCTTTCCTTGGAGACACTGTATCTGGGTGTGGTACTGCTGTTTAAACAATCCAGCAGCCTCCTAACAGACGGTACGGAGTGTTTTACTGAGCCTTAATTCCTCTTTGCTGATATCCTGGAGGGAGGGGGGAGACTCTTGGTGGAAGAGCTGCACGTCGGGGCAAAAGGAAAGAGAAAAAGGCAGGTGGGAGGGGTGTGTGATGCATCTGCTGCCATTGAGGGCAACAGCTTGTGCTTTGGCAACCCCTCTCCTGCCCGCCCCACCTCTTCTCTCTCCTTTCCTAGTACATGGGATGGCTCCAGGGAACTCCAGGAGAAGCCACGGGAAATGCTCCACCGGGTAGCTTGGTAACTGTCGATTCCAAGACATTTGTAATGTGGTGAAGATACCTTGTTCCACACGGGGTGTTTGGGGGGGGGCTGTACGGAGAGGCTTTGCCCATGGTTCAGCTTCTTTCAGAGAACTTTGTCATGGTTTTTTCAAGAGCATCTCTACCTCTCCTCCTCTTTCCCTTTCGAGCAGCTGCTGTTCTGGACGACTCCCTGCTCTTTCTTCCGAGAGGCTTCCTTTCAGCTGGTTTCACTCCGTGATGCTCCAGCCTCTCGTTTCCTCTGGGATTAACAGAGGCAAGCGTTTCCCACTGGCAGTAGGTGGACCTCTCCTTGACATGGGTGGTGGGTATCTTCAGAAGGAAGCAGAACGTCTGCCTCTGCACTACCTGCCCACCTGTCTTCGGGCTAGTTAGCGGTGGGTGGGGGAGCATGTCCAGCATTTGAAGGCTGCCCCAGATTTGCCCCTCCTCACCAGAGGGGATATCCCAAAAGCTAGTGGGGTCTGTGCCTGTATCCCCACCCTCCAGGACATCTTTTTAAGTTGTCTTCAGAGACGGAATCTCATTTGGAAAAGAGGACCTATGCCCCATGTACATTTCAGTTTAGAGGCGCTTCTCTTCTGCTGCTTTAACCATTCCTGCCCATCTCTGAGACCAGCATCCACCCCAGAAGGCTGCCAATCACATTGTCAAGGTTTTTGTGCGGCCTGGTTCTGTGCCTCTGCTGTGATCTTTGTTCCTTCTATGGGGCAGACCCCTTCCCCTCCGAGGGGCAGCGACCCTTCGGACTGAGTATGATATTCTATGTGTGAAATTTTTTTTAAAAAAAAACTTTCCAAATCACTGAAACTTGATTGTGTTGACTCTCTTCAGGAATGGTTCTTAATAATTATCTTTTTTAAAAAAAATTGGAAAGACTTTGAATAAAACATAATAAATGTAAGGTTCTGTTGTGTTGTGAATCATTCACCGAATGAAGACAAGTTTGCTCATTGGCAGGAGTAGAAGCAAGGCTAATGTAGAGTGGGCAAACACAGAAGTGGGCTGTGGGGATGACGAGTGGGACTTGCCCATAACTTCCACTGATGGGACCAAAGTGCAACTTTTTGCCAGGCTAAAATGTCAGGCTGACCTTTTATCGCTCTGCGGCAACCAGGTGCCGAAGTGCTGGCCGGCCTCTGCTCTACATGTATTTATGTGGGGCGGGGGAGTAAGGGTGCATCCAGGAAGTTCTTGCTAGGCAGCTTAAACTAGCCCGCTGACCTGATTTATTTGTCAGAGCACCCTTACAGCTATCTAAACTGCTGGGATGGGCGGCCGAGTTCTGGGATGCTGGCCTGTTCCACGTGCCTGCAAGACCACATTTCCAGCCGAGTTCTGGGATGCTGGCTTGTTCCACGTGCCTGCAAGACCACATTTCTCCTATTGGTCAACAAGACACTGAGCATGCACTCACACCCCCCTTGGGCTTTTCTCCCATGCAGGTGCCCTCCCAAGTCTTGCGGTGCCCCTCCTTGTTTGCATACAGTGGCCTGCCCCCACCTCAACGGCAAGGGCAGAGAGAGACGAACAAAGCCCAGGGAGGCTAAACCACCAAAGCTTTATTTATGCAGACCCCCTGCCTCTTGAAGGCAGGAGAAAGCTTTTCTCGTGCAGGCCAGCCAAGGAGAGGCCCCCTCCAGGGCAGAGGAGCAGATGCTGGCGGCCGTTTCCTCCCTCTGGGTGGGAGAGTGATGTCCCTGAGAGAGAGTAAGATGTGGAAGACGAAAGGGGCACCCCTTCTGGAGCAGGGGGGGTTTCCCTCCTTCTCAGGCAAAAAGGAGGGGAGAAAGACTAGCTGCAGCCTAAGGCGCTTCAGCCATAGGCAGGCTCTTCCATGCTCAGGCTCCAGGCCTGCCCACTGGGGTCCACCTGGCTGACAGCATTTCGCCAGGTGAGCTGGTCTTCGAAACACCACCACCAAAAGCAGGATCCATTCATTTGCCAGAGGCCAAGTCCTCCTTCCTCACTGTTCAGGTGGCTGCCACTGACCATCTTTTGGCTGAGCTGCGGTGGTCTTCCTCCTCCTCCTGCTGCATACGTTGGATCCCAAACTGGCCGGTCCAGCACAAGGAAGCAAGGCTGTGTTCACCCTGGCTGACTCCAGGGGAGAGAATATGGACCCATCTGCAGAAACCATGCTTTCTCCTCTTGGGAGGGAGAGAGGCATGCAGCTACAGCAAAGGATGACCTCCTGGAGGAGATCAGCCTGAAATCCAGCTGTTGAAGTGTTGATGAAGATTCTTTTCCTTCGGGGGTTTCCAACCTTTGGGGGTCACCTTGGGCGAAGAGGTGTCTCAGTGGAGAAGCGCAGGGCACAAGACTCTGGCTCCGAGTGAGGGTCACCTGACGAAAATGTGGAAGGGGTAGAGCGGATCGGTGCCCGAGGCCCTGCGGAAGGAGGGGGAAAAATCTGCATCAGCTACCAGGGCCGGATCAGGGAAAGGACTATGGGGGGGAACCGTGGCCTGGGTTCGGTCCTGGCGAAAAGGGAGGTTTTCTGCGCCCACTTTGCAAGGGGGGGGCTGGCAGGGCAGCGCTTGTCCTTCAGAGGAGGCGGGGTTAATGGGGGAACCCAGGCGTCCGGGGGGGGGGCCCTGCAGAGACCAGGAATCGGAGCACCGCCGCGCGCCTGCGGAGCTTCCCTCTCTTTTCCTCCCTCCCTCCGGATCGCCGGTGGACTCACCGCTGCGCGCCCGCTCCGTGGAAGAAGAAGGCGGCCCGGTGGTCCTGGGCGAGGTGGCAGAGGAAGAGCCAGGCGCTGAGGGTCTCCATCCAGAAGACGACGAAGAGCAGCCAGACCGAGGAGAGGAGGAGCAGCTCGCAGCCCATGGCGGCGCCGGGATAGAGGCTGGGGGGGTGGATTTTAGTTCTCAGCAGGGTCATCTGCCTCATGTGACTATTGCACATGAAGTTTCCCAAGCC